TTCATATTGAGTGTTTATTATGTATAAGTGCCAGGTTTTATTTTTGTTTTATGAATTAAGATGGTGATTTTCAGTTGTAGGTTATAGGTTATAATTTCAACTTACATCCTAGTTTTGTTTTAAATTTAAATACAAGAATGATAGAGAAACACTTTGTTGTGATTATAAATTGAAGATGACTCTCTCAAAATTACTGTGTATCAAATTAGAGTAAAGCTGATAGTTCAGTTACTGCAAAACATCTGTATTTATTAAAAGTTCAACGGAAATCGTTTTAATCATACAGTAACATAATTAAAATAGTAAATTTTAATATTACATTTTTTTTATAATAATGTTACTGTATAAAATGATAAAAATAAAATGTAAGATTCTCATATTGCTGCAATGTGCATCTTTGATTAAATCAAAAGATGCACAAATCAAAATGAAAAGTGTGACATAAATTTTTCCAGTAAATATATAATCAATCAATTAATCAATCAATTAATAAATCAATCAATTAAAATTCAAAACACTATTGTAACATCATAACTTAACATAAGTAAACATTATTAGACCAGGTTTGATTATTATTATTTCATCAATAATATTTCTCCTTCTCCATCAAGGCCAGCAGTAGCCGAAATGTAGCTGATAAGTTTCGTTTTACCATGTTTACGTTGTTATACAACTTGCAAAATACTAATAGGTCCATCACTGCAAGGTTTATTAATTGATATGATTGTAATATTTTTCATAATTAATATTTAAGATGTGTTACATAGGCTTTTAATGTCAGATTATTTATTTTTGTCTTGCGGGCCTTGTCGATCAATCATAGTCTTGATAATAACAACGATTGCGTTTGGGATGACTAGACTAACGGTACTGTAATTAATGGTGATTGCAGTAATGGTGATGAGCGGTGCAGTAATGGTAATTGTGAAGCCTGGTAATGTAAATATTGGTGACTACAAGTATGGTCATGACTACAGTTATGGGGATGACTAAGTGAAGATGATGATGACTAGTCCAAACAGGTCAAAGTTTATGCCTGATCAGAAGCAGCCAAAAATCGTGAAGCTCAGGGTTGGTTTTCCTTTCACTATAAGGAGGAGCTTGATTGAGATACTTGTATGATGTTAATTACCGAAACCTTAAAAAATTCAATTAAAACTTTTAATAACATCCAAACAGAAACAGATATAAAATATTGTATACTTTTCATTAATAATTGATAATAATTTATAAAAAAATTCTTTTCAATACAAGCCAATTAAAGAGTCCATTTACAAAAATACAGTATTTTAATACTTACAATTAACCAGTTTACCAACCAAAATAGGGGGTTTTATGATGCGTAACATGTATTGCATCTTTAATAATTCGACTGGATTAATATTACTACAGGCAACCAATACCAATCAACATATGAGGTTTGCAGAGTTGCATTTTGGTTGCGAGAAAAAAATTGTACTGTAATATGCGGGTAGGATGGAACTTCTGAAATTGGAAACCGAGCAAGTTATATCTCCCAATAGAGGAATTTGGCGATGGGCGTCACACAACCTAATTTAGGTGTTGGATATAAACAGTCGACTGGCACAGCGGTGTTTTACATGGAGATACAAGATGAAACAATTATTTACAAGAGTTAGTTACTGACGTTTATCTATTAAAGATCATCATTATTCCGAGTAAACTATACCAAATTGATTGGAAATTAAACTTTAAAGCATTTTGCCTTAATGTTTTGCTAATGCTGTAAAGAATACTGGCCGCAAAAATTGAGATTTTTCGACAAATGTAATAGGCCTAGGCCCCTGCATCTATACGGCATGGTTAGGTATGCATGACGGTCTTTGACCCGCGAACTATGCTGCGATGTTAGGACCAGCTATACTGTAGGCTTATGGAGGATCACTTAAATTTCAAAGCCTACAATCAGGATGAGTACAGTAAATAAGCACTTTTGAACAATCCTATTGCCTTTCCTAGCCATTTACTTCTCACGTAAACAGTGGGTGGTGGTTTTCGCAACCATAACATCATCTTTTCCCATGCTATCGCACTGTAATGTTTTTTATGTATACCCAAGTTAGGTCACGTGACTGCGTGTAAACAATCGTCGTCAAATCCCTCTATTCTTCATCATGTTGATTATCCTTGAATAAATATTTTGACACCACTTCCTGTGATATTTTTTTTGATTAAATCATATAAAAAAATGTTATTTAACTGATGATTGTAAAATATAGTTTAATTCCAGGAAGAAATTATCCTTGTTAACAGTAGAAGCGTGTGGCATGGTATAAGACGTTAACTTTCAATTGGAATGTCAGGTTTGAGTCAAGACCGATGCTCGTCACACTGCTTGTGTCCTTCAGCAAGACACTTTAGGCCTAAAAAAATTAATTGTTTGTTTCCGCTTTTTTTTTTTTTTTCATGAAAGAAAGGGGCGGGTGGAAAAGTTTTTTTTTTTTTTTTTTTTTTTTTTTTTTTAACAAAATTACTCATCAGAGGGATTAAAAATAACCCACAGTTGACTTTTTGCAATGAATGTAGGCCTAGAATGGAAATATACATCAGACAACAACTTTGCACAATAGGACATCTGGCAAAAAATAGAGATAAATTTAATCACATTCTTTTTAAAGCTAAAAAAAAAGCAAACCTTTTTAAAGTTTTTTTTTTTGTTTGGCCGCACCTATTTTTTCAGTGAGTTAGAGGAGGGTGAGGAGGGCAAACAAACAATTTTTTTAGGTCTTATCAGCATTTGCCTCTTTTCACGCAGACTATAAATGGTTACCTGGTAGGAAGTGAATGATTCCTAGAGTCGCCACTGCATAGCACCGACTACACGCATAATCGGCAATACTCGCCAAGGAGTGAAGGAGGTTGCACGTTGTGTACAGATTGATTCTGTATCTAATGTCACCAAGGGAAAAAAATGCTTGAGCAGTTTCCTGGATATATGCACTATTTAAATCCTCTAAAAATAAAGTAAATAAATAAAGGACAAAGTGAGGTCGTCATAGTCAACGGCCAACCTTAACTTAGTTGAAATAATAGGGGTTTATTTAGACACATTAAAAATATATAAAGTTTTTTCCTATTTATCATTGTGGTTCGCATAGAGGTCATGACAATATTATGCCTCTTAAAGTCCACAATTAATATTATATAATTGGATCATTGACGTCAATACAATACATTAAAACTACAGTATGAAACATTTCTGGTTTCATGTTATTATTATTACTTTCTCTTTCAATATTGACAGTGTTACTTCCGTTTTGCAGCCTGAGAAATTTAAATTTATCGTTCTACCTTCATTTCAATTGAAATAAATTTCAGATCAGGCAGATTGTATGAATTCATTGAACGATTCTTTAGGTTAATTTATGGTGGTGTTCTTTTTTTGCATGGCATTCTTAATTAGAGTTTCATTTTTTTGGCCCATGATATTTTTTACCATAGGTCTACCGGTCTATGTATATGTCATCATATTTCCATTTATTTTCTGTGATTACAGTAATCTTTAGGTTGACTTCAACCATTTTACAAGTGGGTTCATAATTTATGGATTACTGTATAAGACCCGGAATGGTATTTTATCAATATGGATGATTTATTTTTAAGATGAGGAACTACTTAATAATTATTTTTTGAGAGGAACTTTCATTTAGAAAGTTTTAACTATTTGTTGATTGATGACCCTTGTATTAGTGAACAAACACATGTTAAAATTTCTATTTACTGATGAAAAATATAATATTTTTCAATTATATACCGTAACTCCAATAATCTATTTATGAAGTATGCTAAAGACAAGATGTGTATAAGAGACAGCAGTAATGGTGATGAGCGGTGCAGTAATGGTAATTGTGAAGCCTGGTAATGCGAATATTTCGGCTACTCCTGTAGTCTTTGTCAACGCTTGACATAAAAAAAAAAGCGTTGAAAAAGACTACAGGAGTAGCCGAAATATTCGCCAAATAAATTTTAGTGTTTCTAAAGTCAACATCTTACGTATTTGAGTTGTGTTATGTTTCGAAACATACGTGGACACGCTTTCTTCATATATATATAAACGTAATTAAAGCTAAGATTTTGGCAAACCTACGACTGACAAAACTAATTTTCATCAGCTGGCGATTTGATTGACTGTGATTTGGGGTGACATAAGTACATTTGCAGTCGTAAGCAACTGAAAAATTAGCAGTTCTATGCTGTTGCACTAATTTGCCCATGCTCGATATTCTGTGATCTGTTGCAACTGAGGGGAGTCATTGAGAACCTCAAAGCCACAGGATTTTTGAGTTTCATGGGTGTAAATAATGCTATAAAAACAGTTACATTTGAAAAGGGTCTGCAGAAAAACATTCTGTCGGAATCTGGGTGGGTCTGCAGTGCATTAGTGGGGTTTGAGAAGTCTTCCGAGAAATTCAAGTGTAGGGGTGGGTTTGCCAGGAAGTAGGGGAGTTTGCTAGAAAAGGGGAGTTTGCTGGAACTTAGAATTGAGCCGTGGTATCCTCTTTCTATAGTAGTCTACTGTGAAATAGACACTCTGTGCAACTATTTCGTTGGAGCCCTGAGTAGTACTGCATTTGTTGGCTTCAGGAGTGATTCTGGCAACTAGGCCTATTGTAGTTGAGTCAAATTGCAAAGGCTACGAAATCTTATACATATTATAGCAAAAATTTTGTATTTTTTATGGGTTATCAAAAATGCGAGTATGTTTAGAATACATACAAAAAAGAAAAATAACGCTTTCAAAAAGCATGACGTTTCAACTCAATCATGATGTAATTTCAAATTTTTGTTAGCATTTTTTTAAAGTATAGTTCTCTAAAATGTATTCTATTTATTTGGATGTTTATAGTTTATTAAAAAGTATTTTATGTTCCATTGTGCTAACATCTTTAAGTTATTAATTGCTATGAAATTGCATTTCATATTTCATTTTTTAATCTATAAAACCTTCATTTATGTTCTTGATTTTCTTTTCATCTTAGGATGGTTCTTACTTGGCAGAGTTCCTGATAAATAAAGGATATATGGTAAAGTATTATAATACATAATTTATAACATGTAGAGGCACCGCTATGATGGGTGCACTGTTATATAGTTGAACAGCATAGGTAAACAAATGAAATACCAGGTTGACGTAAATAATTTATAGTATGTAATATATCTCATATAATATATATATAACCTTATCAAATATGATCTCACCTGTAGAGGATAAGATATGTTTTATTTGTTCAATGAGAGGCTTTACTGTATTAGAGAATGAAATGATATTTTAAAATTTCTGTTTTTTAAATATGGTAAGATTTTTTTTTAGCTCGGTAGTGTTGAAGTAAAAAAGTCATAATCTTTGGACATGTCAAATCTAAAGAAAAATTCTATTCTCAAAACAGGTAACGAATACGAGACAGGAAAAAATTCTTACCCAATGTGGATCATTTCCTTTATAGCACATTACCAAGCAAATCAAAGCAACGACAGTCACCCAACAATTCTAGACACATTTCTTTCTCTCTCATTTTTTCCCCTCCCGTCGTCGTATCAAACAACGCAAGAGCCTTTCATAGAGGTTAATCACCCACACCACAAACATAATGACTTAAGTTAGGTCAGACCAGAAAGGATAGCTGGAATTTATGCAAACAGTTTCCTGTAATAATCGATGGAAAAAATGTGGTATGGTGCTGAATGCATAACCTTGTTCTATGTTTCATTCAAGCGCATGGCTGCGATTGTCAGATACTAAAAGGTTATGGAAAGCAACAGTGCTATTTATAGGTTTTTGTCTACACATTTGATTGTGTATCAATATGAGATAATGGTCAGTAAAAAGAACTGTCAACTATACTGCTTTATACACACTACCAAATTCTCTTTGACAAAAACATGTCACATTTGCCTTAATATGGTCATGATGACATCACATCATTACCATATATAGGCACATTATGACCATATATAGGCACATCATGACTATATATGGACATTTAACAGTTTTTTTTAATAATCTGGACAGATCCTTTAAGCAATATTTTATGCTGCCATTATGAATGATCTTTACTGACGGATAGATAAAAAAAAATCAGAAGCAAGGTTTAATGTACAAGATTTTTTTTGTAAAATTTATCATGTAAGATTATACTAATTTCTAAAACATATTATTGAATAAAATGCACCACCATTGGGAATAGGGGTATGTTTATACTGTAAGGGGTGGCTTGCAAACTGGATCTTGAATCTAGCGAGCAAAGGCACTACTGACCAAGATTACAGTTGTACCCCTGTACTAGATAGATTTGTTTACATAACATATATTTACTGTATACATTACACTAATCTAACAATTTACAGGACTCCTTCTAATTAAAGAGCCCTCTAATGAAAGACACCTCCAATTAAAAACTGCTTTTATGTGGTCCCAAATTAGCAAATGTTTTTTATCTTTATTATTCTAATTAGAGACTAAATCTGCCAAAGACAATGAAAACCTCAGTCCCAAAGTGGTCCTTAATTGGAGGGAGACCATGTATTGAAAATAATGCACCACCATTGAGAGTAGCTATTTTGTAAGTAAATTTAAAGGGGTAGCTTACAAATGGGATATCGAACCTGGCATGCAAAGACAGTACAGTACTGAACAAGATTACAGTTATGCCCCTATATTTTTCTGTAGGTAAATTTGAACAAAACATGTATTCATACATTACACAAATCTAACAATGGATTATAATACATTTATCTTAAAACCAGTGTGATGATACCTCGGTTTCCATCATTTAACAAAACAAAGACTTCCATATGAATATAGTGATACACTTTACAGCTATAAGTGTATTAATATAAGTGTAATGGGAATTACCGTAATGATTTTTTACTCTTAGAACTGAGGTTCATACGCACTTTGCCAAATGTTTTAAAATATTATTTTTTGCAGTTGTTAGATTGTTCGATCGATATGAAGGCCTTATGTTCAAATCCCAATGCTGACAATACGTTTATTTCTCAAAAATTTATTATCACAATTTATCACCAGTGGAGGTATATATACCATAGTTACTATATTAGTTTTACAGTATGTGGAAAAGGTAATTTTATGATTTAAGATGCTAGTTTTCTCAGTGCTAGGTTAATATCTATTAAAATGACAAGAAACATAATTATAGTCCACTACCTTATGGCCTGTTCACATAATTAAGTTTTAGTTAAATACTGAATAATGTAATAAATGTATTATAATACATTAAATACATGAATGATTCATGTTATGACATTAAAAATGTTAACCACATGAGTTCATTTTGAATTGTGTTTCCACAGGTTCATGGTATTATACGGCGCTCTAGTTCCTTCAATACAGGCCGAATCCAACATTTATACAAAGATCCAACCACTCACACATCAGGAGGTTGGTAGCTTTATATAATTACAACATACCATATATATAGCTTTAATATAATTACAACATACCATGCGCTGAACTTTTAACTAATTTGTTAGGCTATAGTGAGTACAATTCCTTATAAGGAGACAAAACCAATGCTTTAGAATTGTTCAGTGGCAGATTTATAGTAGATAGTAATAATAATAATAAGCCAAATATTTATATAGCATCAGTTCCTAATTGAGTGATCAAAGGCACTGAGCATTATTGCCCCTGGTCATTGGATAACATAAAATTGGCAAAACCAGCACAAGGTGCAACCTTCTCTCCTCCCTATGGACTATACCTAGTCGTGCGCTTGTACTCAGCGCACGTAACCAGTACATTCAATGGCACGACATCCTACCAGATTCCCATTTATACTCCTGGGTAGAGTATAAGACAAACATAGATAAATTGCCTTGCTCAAGGATAAGCAGCTTGCGCAGCAAAAGTTTTGAACACCTGACCTCAATGTTGGAAGTCCAAGCCACAACCGATGCGCCAACCGCTTCTATAATATGCGCATAAGGGGTGCACATCCCCCAATTTTTTATGTAAAAATTATTTTTGTAAGGTTCATCAGAAAATTATTAGTATTTTTGTGATGATCACTGAAAAATACAAATCCAGGTAAAATTGATGACCCAAAGAACACAATCCATTGATAGATTCCAACTCCCAACCTTGATGTTAAGAGCCCATGCTATATGGCTATATTTTAACAAACTTTTTTTCTTCTATTACATATTTTACATTCTTTACAAGTACACCGGAAGAAAAATACTATCCAAAATTAACTATCGCACCCCTACCTACTTAAATCGTATGCAAAATGCGTAATTTTACCATCACATATCGATATGGCTATGTAGACGGGCGGTTTACTGTTTAACGTTTATACGGTATAGAAAAACAAGTACTTCGCATTGGGAGCTAGTCCTAATCATTTAAAACTTCAGGAAGTAGAATGCACTACTTCACCTCAAACCATGTTGTATTTGTATATATGATCATATACATAAAACTGCAATGTTGATATAATATGCTTTACTGGGTGAAATATTACAAGGTGACATGTAGACAGGATATTAGCTGACAATTTTGCAATTTAATATTCCTCAAATAAGCATTAAATCTACATAATTCTTAATAACATTAACATGAAATGGTTATATACACCTGAGTGAAACATCATCCTGATGTGAAAATTAAACACCCTTGTTGCCAGATAAATATAGAATATACTGTATATTCTTGCATTTAAGGCAATCCGCAAGACAACCCCCGAGGTTGATAAGGTTTTTGGACAGTTTTGTATGTCGGGCATGTTTAAGACAGCCCCCTTGTTTCACCGTCGGAATTCATTTCATTGTAGGCAACTTCCATTGATGATTTTAAGGCAGCTTTAAAAACTCACCTTTTTAACTTGTATTTTTCTTAATTTTTTTTTTCCCCGAATTTTATTTTTACTGTAAAGCGCATTGAGGCTTTAGCATAATGCGCTATATAAACCAAAATTATTATTATTATTATTATTATTATCCGCATTTATAAAGCATTACTTAAAACTTAACTGACAAAATATACAACCGTCTTGTATGCCATTTCTTACATCGACTTGGAACACAATCATGTATGACTGCATCAAATATGTCAAGAAACCCTTCCCAAGATATCTCTAAAATATTCATTTTTTGGGTTCAATGTTACTTTTTTTTTGCATGTAGTAAAATTTCTTTAATTTAATTTTAATTTTTAATCCTATGAATAACCTTGTAAATTTTGTAATGTCATTTATTTTTTAATTTCAAATTTATATATGGGATTCAATATAATTGCTTTTCATATTTTGATTGGCTTTTTCTGCTTTAGCAGAATAGGTACTTTTCTGGGTTTTTTTTCTTCTATGTATTCCTGTTTTTCTGTGTTTTCGCAAAGGGTTTTTATGTCATTCTACTAATTTTAAATATTAGTGAACTGATAACTAAACTTTTATGTTAATATAATTTGCAATTTATAAAACATTCCTAATTAGTTACATCTAGGTTCAATACAAATTTATCATGCAATGTATCAACAATCTTCGTCCTCAACATATAAAATTACTGAAGGTAAGTGAAAATCAACTGGCCTTGACAGGGTTTGGTTGTATAGCCAGCACAATGGTTAGATCTCTCCATTTCAACATCACCAGTACATTGCAGCCCTAATTCAAGTCTTGTGTAGGTGTTTTCATGTATTTTTCTTAACTTCATGCAGTAATTGCAACATTCATTCTCATTATGTCAATAAGGAAAAGCCCTATGTTCTGTTTTACCTGTCATTATTGTACTAGCCTCATTTTTCTTGTTAATGTAACCACACAACCATATGCCTCCATTTATTAATGTTGTTGTTCTCTTTGTGCATTTAGGATGACAACAGCCCTGTCATTAACATCTTATCTAATGACATTCCAGATTTCTTAAACTATGTCTGAACACGGGGTTGACCCTTAACTAGATCGGTTTCCAAATCTGATCAGAGTTTTATGCGTTATAGGTCCTAAGCATTCAGCTGTAAAAGAAATGTTGTTATAGTAATTTCTCTATTTTATCATCACCCCATAAGGAAAGGCTGTATGAAGCCGGAAATATATAAATACTTTAAATCAATTAACTTGCGTAGGCCTATATATTTCATATTATGTACGGTAATTCTGTGTAATTGATGAGCGTTAGTAAACTGTTTTATTTTTAAACTCTCAGATTTCAATCCAGTTTTAGATCATACAACCAGGGGTCCCAAGTTGGAAGACATCATTTCCGAGAGATCAGTTTAAACGAGCTTAACACATCTCATTTTTTTTTCTACTTATGGTGATACCAATCAACACTGATTTAATGATTTAATGATTTGCAGGAAATGTGTTATTTTCCGAGATTTTTTTGTTCAGTTGCGGGAATGCAAGAAACTTGGGACCCCTGTACTACTATCCATGGAAGTACTATTATATAAAAAATGTGTGGAATTTGTTAATGCCATCACTGCCCTGAAGTCTCCCAATATAGACTCTTCATTTCTTCATCATTGATGGGGGGTGGGAGGGAGGGAGAGGATTTTGGATGTGGGCTCTCCTACGTCGCCCGTAGATATGCCACTTCTTACCATTCCAGTTAGTATTAACATCACAGTGTCAATTTATTTTTTATTAAAGGAATAAGTCATTTTTCTGTCTAAATAACATTCATAAACATCTGTTATTAAAGGCATTTATTATTTGTCAATATTGTTGGAGAAATCAGAGCAAAATTAGGTCACATAGAAAAAAATGATTAGATTATCACTCTTTTTAAAAAAAAAAATGATGAGGGCTGGAGGTATTTTTTTTGTGGGGTGGGGGGTGGGATTATACCTGGGTATTCCTGTGTGACATCATTTTCTGAAGGGGAAGATGCATTTAAACAACTGCCCTGTGATAAAATGGCCTATTCAAAACTAGGCCTATAATATTCCGGTGAAAAAATAAGACATTACTCAAGCATCAAAGGGAAGGGAACACCCTAATTATGGTTATATAGTAGGCATAAGCACCTAGGCTTTGGTCTTTACCCCGAGGTAAAGACCAGCCTTTGCCTAAACTTTCTTTCTTGATGTTGTAGGTTAGTTTTTGCCCAACAACAACAAATCCAACCAAACACACCCATCACAAGGAAGACCGCCCACTTCTAAGTTGTTTCCTTATTTTTAGCCGCAGCTGTGGAACACGCAAGACTACACACTGTGAATTAACGATCCGATCAGCCCACTGGGGTGCTGTCTATTTTTAACCGCATTTAGCGAGCTGTTTATTTTTAGCAACAGTATACAAGTTTAAAGAATGGGTTTTGCATTTTCAACTTTACTGCGATCCCAATGTCTAATCTAATCAATTGGGAAAGTTTGAAGTCTGCTGAATTCAGAGCCAATTTCTTAATATTTTGTGAGCATTTCTTTTTTGCAAATTTTTTTTATGCAGTTAAAATAAATAAATAAATAAATAAAAATAAGATTATTCCTGCATCAAAATTTCCGAAATTTCTAATGCGGACAAGACTGATAATCTAATAAATTTTTCTATTTGTCCTTAGGGCCTGTTGGTGTTATAATCTCTTTAGAAATGCAGTCTTAAGTGGTTTGGTTTAATGCTGTAATAATATGTATAAATTAAGTAACATCTCGGGCACAGTAATGAAGGCAAGCAAAACTAGATACATCATACAGAAATATTGTTATACAAGTGAGAAAGCGCTAGCTGGGAAAAGAACTGATTTTTGGCTACTCAAATGTAATTTTTTGGTTCGGAAATCTTCCATGGAGTGCTCGGGTGGGATGCAATATTTTTTTATGGCCTTTCAATCTGCCCTCTCCTGCAAAACCCTGTAATAGTAGTCAATAAGATGCTTATGTAATATTGAGAAAGTAAAATAATTTTAAACACTATGACAACCTTTCATAGGACACAACTTTTTTCCTTTTCCTAAATCTACTACTCAGGTATATTTATCATATTAATTGAATTTGTTTTTTTTTTCTCTCTTTTTCCTCTTTCAAGCTATGAAGCTTCATTATGGTGATTTGACAGATAGCACATGTCTTGTAAAAATCATTAGCCAAGTTCAACCCGACGAGATCTATAATCTAGGTGCACAGAGCCATGTAAAGGTAATTGAGAGTAATTAAAATTGCAACTGGGATGTAACATCACACTGCTGCCATATATGGCCTTGTTTTGCACAATTGTGGTCAAACCATCTTGTGGTTAAAGATAGCATGATTAATGAGATTTCAAGAAGAAAAAAGGTTTTGTCGAATACAGTATAGAGAACACGTGTACTCCTGTTTTCATGTTTGCATGAGACATATGATTTGTGAATATCGATAGTGCGAAAAGAAAATTATTACCAACAATGCACATTAACACACAATTCTATATAACATGTTTTAACTTATTTATATGGAAATTTTTAAAAATATGCACTGGTGTTATCATTTATAGAATTTTCACTTGAAAAATATAGTTGCCCCAACTGGGATACGAAGCTTCTGGTGTCTATGAGTATAACTAACTGGGCGACTGAGGTGCTTATAACCCTAAAAGGGTGGAGCTGGTGCTTCTGAAAATTTATGTTAAAGAATTTTAAAGTATATTTTTTAAGTCGTAAATATGTAGGACTTACTCCTTCCAAAGATATGCCAGTCGATAATGAAACTTAGCTACGTTTTAAGTTAATAGCTTCGGTAGCCTTGATCACGCAAATGACGTCAATTTGTTCTAAATTATTATTTATGCTTCAGATATTTGACATCTAAATTGTTATGTTAACTTCCTTTTCAATAATATAAGTAGAAATTCAAATAGAATGATCAGCTTGAGAGCCAAAGTTTCTTTTAACTGTGGTCATTCTTTGCCATCTTAGATTTTTACTTGTATATTGTTTTATTGGTAAGATAAAGAATAAATAAATAAATAAATAAATAGTGTCTCATACAAACGATAAAATACTACTAATCAACCTAAAATACCCTGGCTTAAATATATATATATATATATATATATATATATCTGTCTCTTATACCTAAAAATACTAAAAGCTCAATTTTGAATTTTCTTCTACAAATGAATGGTTTTGCCAGTCACATTTAGGAAGGATCCATGCACATACTCACAATGTGCAGCTTATATTCACTAAAGTTGTGCGTATCTTTACTCTCAACAAGTTTTAGCAAGGCATTAAGAATATGACAGTATCTGATTAGGAATACCTTGGATATCTGTGTAACAATTAACATGCATCTCATATAATATTATAAGATATCTTTTGTGAAATGAGTATAGGCAAAGAGTACAAATAGAACAAGAGAGCGAACTACACTGTGACTCATTGAGGTATGATGATAAAAAAAATAAGGAAATTTACCGCCTTTTACAAAAGTATTGTATCATGTGCAAAACACAGATACACAAACACACATGCTGGGTGCAGTACTCGGTAATAAAGTATATACAAACGACACCGGGCATTCTATACTAGGGAGTGACGTATTTACAAACTGGAGAATGCTCTCTTGTTCTATTAAAAAAAATTGAAATAATTGGTCGCCTCAGAGGTTATTTTCGGGCGTCTACAGTAGAAAAAAAAAATTTTGATTGGACTCCCCCAGCGTACTGTTGTCTCGATTGACCCCACTTTTGGGCCCCCACTTTCATACCTCTCTGGATCTGCCCCTTTTGGACACAGTCCAAACTTAACATTCATATTTTATAGAGCTCTGCAAAGAGCAACACAACTTCAAACATCTCAATTCATTTAACTTGCTTTTTACATCTACTGTTACCTCTTCAGCCATTCAGTCTACTGCTGGATGAAATCGTTAGCAGGCCACTTCCTGTGGTCTAGGTCTCTCTGTTATACCAGTTAGCATATCCCCAGCATTACTGGATTTCATCTCTACAATTTCCATTGCCTTTCTCGATTTCTTTTCATGTTCATGGTTGTTCAAAACTGTCAATTCTATGCTCCGTTTTTTTAAAATTATTTCTGTGGCTGATGTGACATAAGCATTCCTGGTATTTGACTATTTCCATAATATCACCCATGTACCTTTGTAAACTATCTGTCTGCACTAGCCATTTCAAACTTTGAGGTTAAAATTACGCAGTTTGCATATGGTTCAAGTAGGCATGGGAGCGTTAGTGGATTTTTGGAAGTACTTTCTTCCCCTCGCGCGCTTAAATTTGGCACACGCAGGGAAGAAGTAGAAACTACCGCACCCTCTTCCAGTACCAAGATTAATTGACTAATGAAATGTATGTGGTATTGAATACATAACACTATATCCACAATAGCTTTAAAGATTAAAAGATTTAAGCTTTTCTTTGCATTCTATGTAAACCCTATGCATAATTCCAAATAGAATTATAGTATTTCAGAGTAATTATGAGATATACTGTACTATATTTTTTTGAATTCTTATCATCATATACTGGCTTTTGGAGCAAATACATATAGAATTAAATTGAATTATTTTAAAGTCAGCATATTCTTTAAGTAGTTCAAAAGTGAATTATGAACTTTATTAATCATTAAAATTGAAATGGTTAAACCCATTAAATTTGCTGATTGTCCCTTATTTTGAATGATTGGCATTTGTCAAGCATTTTATTGCCATTGCTAATGAGAGCCTTGTCTTATTTCCGGTGTTCTGTGTTAATGATTTTGCCTCAAATCATTTCCTGGATAGACAGGCGATCATATGAGGAATAAGCGATGTTTACAACATACACATCATTTATTTCACCTCGAATCATTTCCTGGACAGAAGGCAATAATATGAAGAATAACGATGACATATGTTGATAGTAACCACAGAATATAATCAACAAAAAGCAATGTCTTTAAAACAATAGGGAGTAGAGCCTACCATTTCAGTTGCCTGATGTTATTTTGTAGTACTGTACTTCATTTATTCTGCATTTCTAGAAACTTTCCTACCCATCACTTCCATAGGCTTACCTCCACCAGCTCAACCTTAGCTAGATCCATATTTTTCCTAGCACCACTGCATCATTGAGAGAGCAGTTTAGCTCAGTCGGGTAAACTGGTGGTAGCCACTGTGTGTGCACTAAACTGTGGAGAACTCTTGCTTCCTGGTTCAATTCCCATCGCTGCTCTCCTTATATTTCAGCTGGAGGGCTGAATGCAAGTTTACGATGAGATGTTTAAGACACTGGTCCTGTACATTATTGCCCATGTGCACGTTAAAGAACGCAGTACACTCTTCGGAAAAGAGTAGGGGATTGTCTCCTGGTGTACTGCTCAATCATCACCAGAAGGATCCCACTGGAAATAAGCCTTCTTCAGACTTTTGTGGGTTATTCTTGGTGTATGCACCAAATAAATCCAATCTAATCCATTCCAATCCAATCCACTTTATCAATTCTCTTTTGTCCTGTAGCTATTTCATTCCCATCGTACACTCTAACCACACATCATAACTCTTTCTTTGACCTGTCTTATTACTCATTACCATCGTCTCCCTAGCCCATGTCCCAGTCCCATTTTCTTCTCCCTTTTCTCATCTTCTATTCCATCTTCCCCATCACATCCCTCTCCACCCCATCATTAGTAAGTTTGTGTTTGATGCTTTCGCATTTTAAATATCTTAAATTTATTGGCTTAGTTTTTTAATTACCAGGTTCTTTATTTTATGTTTTTTTCTGAACTTATATCTTTTAGAATAATTATTGGGTTAATAATTATCTTATTTACTTCTTAATCATTTTAGTTTTTAAGTGTGTACAGTAATATTAAAAATTATTTATTTTATAAAATTATATCATTTCAACATCTCATAATTTATTTTATTAAAACTTTTAAAGTTTTACTTTTGATATAAATGTTAATTTCAAAATTTATATTTTGTATTGTATCTGTGAATCCAAATAATATTGTTTGACCACCCTCACAAATCATTAATTTCAATAAATTTCCAGATGATTTCTTCTTGTGTAATCTTCTCACAGCCTCATTCCCCAACTATTATGCCAACTGCTTCTACTATCTATCATTTAACACAAACACACACTGTTCATGTCAATTGACCTTTGGGGCAATCTCAAAGGTGGCTTAAATTGTATAATATCCTAACATTTTTACTGATACATTGTGTCCCAAACAAATATAAACTTCCAACTATTGTACATTATTCAGAATACAGTATTAACCATAGAGGGCAGTATAATGCTTTGAACATACTTCAGCATACATGAAATGAGTCTCATGGTTGGGAAATCAAAAGTGAATTTGTTGGCGTAGGCATAACCAGACAATGTCAATTGACCTTTGGTTCAGGCATTCTAAAAAGTGGCTAATATTGTATGACATCCTAAACATCTTCCAACTATTGTACATTATTCAGAATACAGTAGTTTCCAAGAGGGCAGTATAATGCTTTTGAAAATACATCAGCATACATGAAATGAGTCTCACGGTTGGGAAATCAAAAGTGAATTTGTTGGCATATTTTAGTTGATCACATTATAAGTTCTAATTTGATAATACTGTATGAGAGCCTGATACAGTATTGAGAAAGTCAGCCTCAAAGTTAAACCAACCTAAACAAATACTAGAAGTACAGCATGAGCACAGAGAACACTAGTAAGAAAACAAGAAGCTTGGTCTTGTGATGTTTATCTGCACTAATTAGGGTTGGCGCTCCCGAATGAGGGCCCAATGTCCCTACGAGAATGTAAGTGGGTGTGGTCGGGTGTCGCTCAAAATCTTTCGGAAGTGGTCCAGAAGGGGAAGCCCCAAAAACTTTGAAAATTTGGGAGTTCCTAAAGCTCATTTAATTGATTTTAGAGTCTACTAATATGTATTATTGTAGTATAATATGTATATGTAAGGTACTGTTGGATGTACTGTATATTTTATTTTCCTGACAAATTGTGTTTTTTTCTTGAAGATGTTCCAACACACATTCATCAATTTTAGCTTGTTGAAAATAAAAACACCCTGAGCTCTGACTGTCATATGATGAATAGGGACATCTATATAAATATAAGTGGTTCTTTTTTTCCTTTTTTAAAAAAATCTATGTATGTCTTCTGAAATGCTGTGCATGAGACATTGTAACCCACTTAAAGAACTGTCCCATTAAAA